GGGGGGGGGGGGGGGGGGGGGGGGGGGGGGGGGGGGGGGGGGGGGGGGGGGGGGGGGGGGGGGCACCTCGTCCACTTGTCTTTGTTTTTTTTCGCCATCATGCGATTTCTTGTCACGTCCGTTTGCGGAAGCGGCGGTGACGGAGCGGGGGAACTGTGAGTAGTTACATAGAACTAGGAAGAATCAGGCAATGATATTAGATGCCATCAAGAGGCAAAGAGTCATCACATAGAACCGGAGATAATCCTCCGGTTTGAAGAAAAACGATTTTCACTTGCTGCTGTATGCTTTTGTTGAAAGCAAGCCGACGAATCGTCGGCGTTGCTAGTCCCAAGCTGTCTTTTTTTTGCTCTTTGTTTCAGGCTTGAGAACGGAAGCGGGGACGGACCCCTCATGTACGCATGCTTCAGGCAGTGGCATTTCGATAGTCGCGACAAATGCAGACACTGTACCAAGCCAAACGAGGTTTGAAAACGGCCTTTTGGTACACGCGCCAGAAAAGATTTTTTGTGTTTTGCAACGGCAACCCATGACCCTGCTGTTGCTACTTCCAAGTACAAGGAACATCATCATAATGATCACGAGTCACGGCTGCTCTGTCACGGCTCAGCTTAAGGTCTATGGTGCATGTTCGGGACCCCCCCAACCACAGGGCGGGAATTGGCGAATGGAACGAACGAACGTACAAAATAACTCTGCCTGCGAGCTTGGAACATCCATCTTTTCACCACCCTTTGCGCCGGAAAAGGATAACACAAACGATAATCAACAAGGTGGCTCATTCGCCTCCCCAGATAATTTCGTACCAGAAAAAATGCAGTCTAGCCCAATTATTAGCCGAAAGAGTCCTCCCCGAGATAATTCGACCCTTCTATCCGTGGCCCGCCCACCACCGGATTGGCGAGCTGGCCCATGTCATGACGCGTTGGCGTTTCGTCGAATGGTTCGATATGCCGGCCAACGGCGGAGTCGTTCTTTCAAGTTGTGGGATGTTCCCGAAAAGAGAAACAGCAGAATATGAACGAAAACTCCATGCCATACCTTGTGAAACGGTTCTGCTCGTTCATTCCTCGGGATCGATTACTTTAGAATATATTCTCCCCTGACAGATTTCTCGGTGAGCTTAAGATTAATTTCTAACCTGATTTCGACAGAGAAGCGCCTCCACGATGCCCTCGGCACCCGAAACAAAGCAGACACGAACAAAAAATCAACATTCAATACACACGCCCAACACAATCAACAATGCATTTCGGGTTAATGTAGAAACAACCCCCTGGCGGATAATCGTGGGGAAAACAGTCGGAAGGAGGGGCGACTCCACGCCCCTGAATGCTGCTTAGGTGGAGCAGCGTGAACGGCCTGCCACCGCTTTCGTGTCGGACACCACCGCCGCATAGACAGACAAGCCTTGAAAAGCAGTAGCAACCCCACGACAGTCAAACCAAACATAAAATATAAGCAAGCAGTCTACCTGGAAAATGCTATCAACCAGGGGGGCTACCCGCGTCCGTCATGGCTACTGGTGTGAGATGCTACGGTTCAAACACGAATGCCGTTGCCAACAATTTTCGAAGGGTGCTCAAAGAGGGACACTAGGCATTACGTAGTACCGACGAAGGTGGGGGCCACACAGACACTAAAAAAGTTGGACGCCCCTGCCCAGTGTCGATGCCCCCCCACCGCGCCGATGGACGACAAACAAATGAGACCGACACAAATATTTCGTCACAACATGTACTCCACCCCCTCCCTCTCCTCCTCTTCCTCGGCAGCACCGCCTTTACCGATGGCGTCAAGAACATCGCCGCCGTTTGGACTGTTCAAGGCCCTCAGCAGCTTCTTGCTGTACGTGTCGTGCTCTGGAACGCTGATTGAGTCGGGTCCCGTGACCGCTATCCTTCTCTTGAGGGCTTCGTTGATCATCGACTCCAGCTCCACCCGTTGTCTGCACACACGCGTTCGTGGCCGACCCAACGGTCGAGGGGACGGTCGGGGTACGTTAGAGGTCCCTCTTTAGTGCCGGTTGAATAGTGCCGGTTGCCGGTATAGTGCCGGTGTTTTCGTCTCGCACACACTGGAATATCAAGTCGTTTTCAGACCCTGAATAGTGTTCCATTGACACTTTTCAGGCATTCTGAAGAAGTGTGCCGGTGCCCGGTATAGTGCCGGTGAAATGTTTGCGCACACCCCGGCACTAAACAGGGACCTCTACTGTAAGCAGAACAAGAGAGAAGGAAGTGCGCCCGCATCAGTTGGACCAGTACGTTACTGAGTAGCAATCGGAACGATTTTTACGTGACGATAACAACAACGACGATAGCAACAGCAACAGCAACAACAGCAACAACGGCAACGAGTGGGGGGAGACACTAGGGGGATAGGGGAGAAAGAGAGAGCGCGGCGTACCGTGACCTGAGGTGAAAAAGCACGGCATGGTCCATATTGCATCGTGAGTAGTCATGTTCTCGCACAAGCTGTAAGACAGGTACATCCAGGGAGAAGCGCTGACATCGCTAGGAAGTAGGCCTAGGCAACACTGCCACGAATTGCTGTCAAAGGGATGAAAGGAACATCGGAGCCGAAAAGCAAGCAAGCAAAACCAACGGTTGCCAAAACAGTGAGGCCGACTACCGTTGCTGCCATCGTTGTTGCTGTGCTTCCAGCTAAATCTTGCTGGTTGTGTAGAGACACGCACACGTTACTCGGGGGAGAATTGTCGAAGAGACTGCTCACAGGGTGCCCCCCGCAACCACACCCGATGCAGGATGAACCTACACCGAGGGGTGACGAGGAAGGGAGCACCGAAGGTGACACAAGACCACACCCACACCCCCTGAACATATTTATTTTCGAAGCTCGATTACTCCACAGTAGAAAGAGTGGCGGTGCCGAACATGGCGGTGATACAACCGTCTCGTCGAGATCTTTGGCTTTCCGACAACTCACCATCGTTTGATGTTTTATTATTCCTCTTCTCTGTGGAGTACAGTACACAGTCAAGTTTGAAGATGGGACCAAGGGCGGGGGGGGTGTACTCGTAGTCGTGCATGCCGTAGTCGTTAGACCATTGACCTCGCATCCCTACAAACCCGGGACGGAGCACGCCGGGTTCTCACCGGACCAGGCTCTCACATCACCAAGCGCGAAGCGCCGTGAGATATTCGGCGAGTCGCATGAAGGGTGCGCTGCATCCTGCTAAGGGTTTTCGGCATCTTGTGCTTACTTCCTTGCGTACGGATGACAGCTGCGTATGACNGCCAACAAATAAACGGAGGAAAAAAAAAAGAAAACGGTAACCTGGTTGCCGAGTTCACGAAGTGA